CCTGCCCGGGCCCAGCTCGGCCCCACCTGCCCGCCCAGGCCTATAAAACCCAGAGCCACTTCCTCCCCCGCAGCCAGGCAGGAGGCCCCACCATGCAGTTCAATTTCAGTGGCCTTCGCGCCTTGGTGACAGGTGCAGGGAAAGGTGAGTGGCCCAGCACCGGAGGGGGCTACTCCCAGGCCCCACACCCAGCCAGCCCGGCCACCGGAGCGGGCTACTCCCAGGGCACCACCGGAGCCCGTCCAGACAGGACAGACAGACACCAGCCCCTTCCCACTGACACAGCCCAACACCCAAAGGCCGGCACGCCCTGCCTCTCACCGGTGTATGCCTGGTCCCCGGCTGCTCGTTCCTGGGACTCACCCCTGCTGCCCTGACCCCCGCCCTGGGCCCGCAGGGTCACCTCCACGGCTGCTCCTCTGCAGGGATAGGGCGGGACACGGTGAAGGCCCTGCACGCATCTGGAGCCCGCGTCGTGGCTGTGAGCCGCACCCATGCCGACCTGGTCAGCCTCTCGGGAGAGGTGAGGGGCCCTGCGCCCTGTGGGGGCCTCAGAAGCCTGCCAGAGCCGGCACTGGATCCCCACCCAAACATCTCCCACAGTGTCCTGGGGTGGAGCCGGTATGCGTGGACCTGGGAGACTGGGAGGCCACCGGCCAGGCGCTGGGCAGCGTGGGCCCTGTGGACCTGCTGGTGAACAATGCGGCCGTGGCCCTGAGGCAGCCCTTCCTGGAGGTCACCAAGGACTTCTTCGACAGGTGGGGGCCGGGAGGGCGGGCCTGCGGGGGGGCCGGGAGGGGGCCGAGCCGGACAGGTGGCAGCAGCAGAGCTCCTCTCTCCCACCAGGTCCATCAATGTGAACTTGCGCTCTGTGATGCAGGTGTCCCAGGTGAGCGGGGGAGGGGTCTCAACACCAGACCCGCCGGCCTGTGCTGGCCCAGAACCCCACGCGCTCCTGGTTTCCAGATCGTAGCGCGGGGCATGATTGACCGCGGAGTGCCAGGCTCCATCGTGAACATTTCCAGCATGTTGGCCTTAATCCCCTTCCCCAACCTGACCAGTTACTGTGAGTGTGCTCTGCTGCCCCCACGTCCCTGCCCCTTTCCAGAAAGGGGGGGCTTGGCTCTCAAGGGGCACTCAGTGCTGTGCTCTCCTGGGCAGGGGTGGAGGGTGGGGGTGGGAGGGGCGCTCAGTCCTGTGCTCTCCTAGGCTGCAGCAAAGGCGCAATGACCATGCTGACCAAAGCCATGGCTCTGGAGTTGGGGCCGCACAAGGTGACGGATGGCCGGCCGGCCGCAGGGGCCGCAAGCCCAGGGTCGGGGTCGGGGAGGGTTCCCCAGCCGGGACGCGGGGCGGGCTGATCGCAGCAGGCGGGCTCTGGGGGCACAGGGCGGGGCGGGGCCCCTCGAGCTGAACCCCCTCCCGGCCGCTGGCCCTAGATCCGGGTGAACACCGTGAACCCCACCCTGGTGATGACAGACATGGGCAAAGGTGTCTCAGCCGACCCCGAGTTCGTCCGAAAGCTGAAGGAGCGGCACCCCTTGAGAAAGTTCGCAGGTCCGGGGCGGGGTGCGGGTGCGGGACGCTCGGAGGGGGCCCCGGGCCTGCGCCCTAACCGGACCGTTGCCCAGCAGAGGTGGAGGACGTGGTCAACAGCATTCTCTTCCTGCTCAGCGACCGCAGCGCCTCCACCAGCGGCTCAGGGATCTTCGTGGACGCCGGCTACCTGGTCACCTAGAGGGGCGTTGTCCAGGCCCCGCGATGGGGCGGCGGCTCCGCGGGCCCCGCCCCTGAAAGGTCCCGCCCCAACGCCAGGCCCACAGCCCCAACGCCGCCACGCCCACAGCCCAACCCACGCCAGCAAGGCCACGCCCCACCGAGGCCACGCCCACAGCCCAACCCACGCCAGCAAGGCCACGCCCCAACTCAGGCCACGCCGAAGCTTCTGTCCGATCCCCACTGGGACGCGCCCACTTTTAGCCCCTCCCACACCCGCTCCTCCCCTGCATCAGGCCCCGCCCACTCCCCCCCTCTGCTCACAGGTCCGCCCCAGGCTCGCCTCACGCCTAGCCCCACCATGATCCTAGCTCCAGGCCCCGCCCCCAGACCACGGCCCCGCCTCCGCACCGGGCCCCGCCGTAGCCCCACCCACTTGCCCCGGCCGCCTCCGGTCGGGCCTCGCGCGCCTCCACGCCCCCAAGTCTGGCTAACGGTTTCTGGGCACCGCAATCCCGTTTCCCCGGTATCTACTTCCTGAGCCCCTGCTCCTTCCCCGGCCACGGTACCCTTCGTGCAGGGGCCGGTTTGCTCAAATAAAGCGACTCTGTAGGTCGGGAACGCGGAACCCACGCCCTGACTGGGCTCGCCGGGGCGGGGCTCTCTGGGCAGCGGGGCGGGGCCAGGCTCGCCGGGGCGGGGCTC